TGGTCTTCCATTGATCCAGCCAAGAAGGTGGGAAAAACCCCGTAGTACAACCACCCCTTTCCCCCCAGACAAAACAATCTTACAGCTTCCTCCTCGAAGACTGCTCCGTGTTCCTAGATAAGTGAGGATGAAAGACCCCAGAAGGACCGAGCAACAAATGCTTAAAACCATGTTTAAAACAAATGTTTAAAATGGGTGTCTGTAAACTTTACTGGGTTTCTGGTATATAGCTTCTTTTTAGAATTAGATGAATGATGGAAAAATCTTTTTCATAAGTGCCAGTTCAAATAGCATGACGTCTCTGTAAAGAATTAGTTTTTTTTTTTTTTTTAAGATTTTTATTTATTTATTTGACAGAGATCACAAGTAGGCAGGGAGGCAGGCAGAGAGAGAGGGGGAAGCAGGCTCCCTGCTGGCTGGATGCGGGGCTTGATCTCAGGACCCTGGGATCATGACATGAGTTAAAGGTAGAAGCTTTAACCCACTGAGCCACCCAGGCGCCCCAAGAATTAGTTTTCAAACCCAGGTTGCAACGTAGTGGGTTGTGGACTCAATTTACCGTCCGGTGACCAGCATAAAGCATATATACCATAAGGACAAAATAGAATAGAATAAAATGGGAGGGGGGGGTTGGCAGTAAAAATATGCATCTCACATGGTAAGCGCAGGTGTTATTTTGTGACTTTGCTTCATAGGTAGATCATGTCATTAATGTCCTTTATTCTTTTAGAAGATGAATCCTAACTTCTTTAATCCATCTCTGCCTCACCATGTCCTTGAAAATGTGCTTTACCAATGGCTTCCTTCTTTGCAGACATATCTTTCAAACTTCAACAAATATTCTCTTGAACTTGTGTTTTTAAGGTAAGTTATTTGCGTAAGTTGCTTATTTAAATGTTCTTGATTATTTATCTCCTGTTTGCTTCTTAAATTTGAAGTTTTCTTCCAGTATCTCAGAGCAAGACCTTGAGCCAAGCCATGTGCTTCAATTACCATTCATTTACTAGATATGAGGGAAAATTTTTTAATATGTAGCTTTTTGGAACAGCTTCCAAGACCAGTGTGTTTAACCAATAGTATGTAACTAGCTGCTGTAATTAAAATTTTTAGTGACTTAACATAAGAGAAATTTCTTGTTCACATAGCAGTTTAAAAAGCAGGTGTCATTAATCAGTGGGCTGCTTTCCTCCATGTAATGATCCAGGCTCCCAAGGCTGCTTCCATCCTGTAGAATAGAGGTCAACAAACATTTTTTGTAAAGGGCCAGATTGTAATGTTTAAGGCTTTGTGGCCATAGGGTCTCTGTTTCAACTCTTTAATTCTGCCTCTGCACTTGTAGTTCTGTAGATAGTACTTTAATATGAATGGTCCTGGCTGCATTCCCATGACACTTTACAAAAATGGGCAGCCTGCTGGAATTGGCCTGTAGTTTGCTAACTCCTGCCATAAGGCCCCAGAGACTTCTGCATTTACTTAGTGGTTGGGCAAAAAGGAGGCATACCTGCTTCTTAACCACATGGGCCCAAAATGACATACAGCATTTTCTCTACCATATAATTGGAGAAAATGAAGCCCTATCTAGAGAAAAGAGGGAAGGCTGGGAAATGTCCCTAGCTGTACATGTACTACCCACAACTCTAAAGGATGGAAAGGTGCGGGGAAGGGGGCCTAGAATTATAGCTAGGTGTCTCTAACCACAAACTATATCACCTTAGGGGGCACTTGGGTGGATCAGTTGTTAAGTGTCTGCCTTCGGCTCAGGTTATGATCCCAGGGTCCTGGGATTGAGCCCATCATCCGGCTCCCTCCTTGGCCGGGAAGCCTGCTTCTCCCTCTCCCACTACCCCTGCTTGTGTTACCTCTCACTGTGTCTCTCTCCGTAAAACAAAACAAAACAAAACAAAACATTACATTCACCTTAATTTGAATTTCTTTTTTCACATTTGTTTATCCTTATAATAGCTTAAAGTTATTATATACTATATAGTATTTTGACTTTTTTTTTTTTTTAAGTAACACCACTTTTTGTTCTCTTTCAAATAAATTCTTAGGAGGAAACCCAGTACATAGAAAGCACCAAAGTGGATATGCTGTAGAATTTAAGCTGGGGGGTGGGGGGGTGGGGGGGACAGAATGCTATCAGTTTAGCCTGAGCCTTAACAGAGGTAATGGTCACCAGGTATCTTTATGGGGAACATGCAAACACAGTGTGAAAACCAATGCCATAAAGTTCATGCTGTGATAATGCAATCCAAGGAATCATAGAAATCATCATTTTGAGGGTAATTCAGTAAGTTATTATTTTAAGTCACCTGAAATTTAAAGCATTCCAAATTACTATTTACCAATACTCCCATTGAAGTTCTTAAGTACAGTCTCTCTTGGATATCACCATTTATGCAGCTGGTTAAGAGAGTTTATTATAAGTGACTTTGACTCATTGTTTTCCCTGTCTGCTTCTTCTACTAAGTTGAAAATATTTTGATTTTTCAGTTCCTTTAGAAGAGTTGAAGATAGTAGGCTACTCTTAATCTCTTTATACTTTTTAACATCGTGTCAACTCAAGGGTGTTCTAGTTTTAAACTAGCATTGAACTTTCCATTCCTTTACTTGATTTTTTTTCCTCCAAAATAATAATTTAAAAAAATATTTTTTTAAGATTCCAGCTTTATTAAGCACACCATTGTTAGAGTTGACACATGGGGGCACTATTCTTAAATGGAATAGAAAAAAGAAATAATCCATTAAATTTCCCCGGGGTTGAAGTCTGTAACAGGGAGAGGAGGTGAAGCCTTTGAGGAATTGGTATGGTGATTCACTATTGTGTGAGTGCATTAAGTGACTACCCAACATTTATTGAGCACCTGTTTATACAAAGTAGTCTGATGGAGGACATAAGAGATTGTTAAAGAAGTAGGAAAGACAAAACTGATGATCATACCTTACACACAGCCCTAGAACTGATGAAACAAAAAAGTTACTGTGAAAAGAAAAAAAAAAGTCATTTGGTAAAAAAAACCACACACAAAGCATTGCATATATACTAACCAATAAAGTGTATATGTTTATTCATTCATTTCATAATTCAGTCATTCACCAAATATTTATGGAGTGACTACCAAATGCCTGGCACTGTGCTGGGTACTGTGAAGCAGTGAAGTAGATAAGCACAGGCCTTGCTTTCATGGATGTTACAATGAGTTTACAGCCGTGGTTACATCAGCATCAGCATCACCAGCAAGAAATACAGTACTAAATCATTTTGTGGCTATTGGAGTATCATAGGCATTTTTACCCCTTTCCAAACCAAAGGAAAGGAGATCAGAAGTAGAAATAAAAATGAAATAACTTTTTGGTGGTTTTACTTTTCTACAAGATTTTAACTGATTTGTCACTTCTTATCCAAGATATTCTTGTGCTATTACAAAAGAGAAAAAACAGCACATTAAAACTGTATGTTTCATAGGAGGTTGGGTTCAAAAAATATATTGTAGATCTTTTCACATTGTAATTTCAACATATTCCATAAGAATGAAAAGGGACAGCAAGTTTGGATATTTCTCTCAAGTTTTAGTTATTTTATAACAACATGTGTTTGTTTAATTCCTCTTTTTTTTAATATTTTATTTATTTATTTGACAGAGAGATCACAAGTAGGCAGAGGCAGGCAGAGAGAGGAGGGGAAGCAGGCTCCCCGCTGAGCAGAGAGCCCGATGCGGGCTTTGATCCCAGGACCCTGAGATCATGACCTGAGCTGAAGGCAGAGGCTTAACCCACTGAGCCACCCAGGTGCCCTGTTTAATTCCTCTTAAATTAACTCTCTATTTAATGAATAAAGTCATGCTAAGAAGTAACTGAATAGGCCTTGGATCAAGACTCAAGGTCATACTGGGCTTTCCTAAATTATTTTACGCAAAGTATATTTCAAAACTCGTTTAAGTCCAGTACTAACCAGGAAAAGATAAACTTAACCAAAATTCTCTAGAACTGAGAATGAAGGCCGAGCACTCAGAAACAATCATTTCAAGACACACTGTTCAGAAAGAAAGAAATATGGCTGGGAGGATCAGATGCAGATTATATCGTCAATCCTTTATCTAAGAAAAAAGGACACAAACCTCACACCTGGGATAGCATGTAAGCAACAGAGGTCATCTAAATAAATATCTTGCTGCTTTCTTTCTTTTTAATATTTCATGTTATATTTTCCTTTATAGATTTACAGCTCTAAACAAATGAAGTTACTGTATTTTTTAGACACTTAGCAATAAATGTCTACAATTTCTATTTTTGTCTCCATTGTTGTTAGACATTACACATGGCATTTGGAGCCCTGCCCCAGAACCAGTAATTTTTAAAAAAGTAAAAACGCTTTATTATTACAAAAGTATTATTTATTGTAGACGAGATAGTAAATAAGACTAAGCAAAAATGGGGGAACTTCACAATCATTGTACATCCTTGCAGATCTTAAAAAATACACACACACACATATATACACACACACATATTTTAAAAGTTATATATACTATTTTGTAACCTGTATCTCCTAACATGGTTTCAACATCTTTCCACATAATATTCACTTACAAAATTATTTTAAATGGCTGCACAGCTTTTAGATGTACTACAATAACCCATTTCCAGATGTCGGGCACTTTGGTTAGTTCTCCTTTGCTATTATAAACCATTTCGGGAGGTAGAGTATGAACTTTGAGGCTACAACAATTTCCTTAATTCTTTCCAAGGATTTCAGTAGACTATGATTGCGTCCCTTTTCCCAGCAGATAGAAATATTTGGACATCATCATTACTCCCCTCCCCTCGCCAAAATCCTTTTCTGATGGGCAAAAAAATCTGTCTCATCACGTCCCAGGAACGTTCTTGGTTATCATCCAGTCACTGAGATCGGCAGAGGGGCCTTTCCACCCCCGCAACCGGAGCCTTGCCGCCCGCGGTCTGACCTCCACCAAGGTGACGCGGAAGAACGGCCCCCGGCCGCACCCAGCTCAGACACAGCGCTTGCGCGCGCATGAGCGGACGGGCGTGTGGAGACAGCGGCTGCGCGGCCGGCGTGAGGCTTCGTGAAGGTATCAGCTGCTGGCTACGCTTTTCCTTCTGCTCCTCCACCGCCACATCGGGTGTGGGTTGAATCGGGGAGGGGGAGTGTGATGGCCTGGGCCTGCTTTCCTTTCCTCTGGGCGTGCTTTCTTCGGGGGGCGTGTGTGGTGGTGCTTGAGAGGCGGTGTGGGGAGTTGGCCACGCCCCCTCACTCCCAAGCCCCGCCCTGGGTTAAAGCCCTAGTTTTCACCATGCTTTTGAAGACCAATAAAGTTCACCTACCCCCGCCTCAAGAGAATAGGCCCTGGTGTTTTTTGTGTCATCGACACCAGAAATACTCCTTGGAATAAGGCCTCAGTAATCCTAATAAAGGATGCTTTCTGCAGTCCATAAAAGGCTGGGACTGCCTGTTTTTCGTGGTGTAATTCTGTTGTGAACTGAATGAATCATTTCGCCTCTTTGTCTTAGACTATCTGAGGGTACTTAACAGTCTAAAAAGGGAACTCCAAACGGTTTGATGATAAGTCTAAATTAAAGTGATGTTAACGTTGTTTTTCCTGTCTTCATTAACAGCTCACACCGAGCGCCAGAAGGAAATCGGCTATCGTTTGTTAGGCCTATAAAGTATTTAAACAACAGTGATTGCCTCCAGGACGTGTTGTGATCTGTTACAGGAATGTGTTTCTGATCGAATCTCAATCATGTTGTCAAACTGCTTGCAAAATTTCTTAAAAATGACAAGCCCTCATGTATATCCAAGATTATGCCAGCGACTAATAGGAAGTAAAAGGAGGTTTTCCGGAACTGTGCCAACGTTCAGATTTCGTAGGCGGGTTGTCATTACAGGCATTGGCTTAGTGACTCCTCTGGGTGTTGGAACTCAGCTGGTATGGGATCGTCTCATCCGAGGAGAGAGTGGAATTATTTCATTGGTCGGTGAGGAGTATAAGAATATCCCTTGCAGTGTTGCTGCTTATGTGCCAAGAGGTGGTGATGAAGGTCAGTTCAATGAACAAAACTTTGTGTCCAAATCCGATATCAAGTCCATGTCTTCTCCAACCGTTATGGCCATTGGGGCTGCAGAGTTAGCCATGAAAGATTCTGGCTGGCACCCTCAATCAGAAGCTGATCAAGTGACTACTGGAGTTGCAATTGGCATGGGAATGGTTCCTCTTGAAGTTGTTTCTGAAACTGCTTTAATGTTTCAGACGAAAGGTTATAGTAAAGTCAGCCCATTCTTTGTCCCTAAGATTCTAGTCAATATGGCAGCAGGCCAGGTCAGCATTCGATATAAACTCAAGGGCCCCAATCATGCAGTGTCTACAGCCTGTACCACAGGAGCTCATGCTGTGGGAGACTCCTTTAGATTTATAGCCCATGGTGATGCTGATGTGATGGTGGCTGGAGGTACGGATTCTTGCATTAGTCCTTTATCTCTTGCTGGGTTTTCCAGAGCCCGTGCTCTGAGCACAAACCCTGATCCTAAGTTGGCATGTCGACCATTTCACCCCAAAAGAGATGGTTTTGTAATGGGAGAAGGTGCAGCTGTGCTGGTGCTGGAAGAATATGATCATGCCATGGAACGAGGGGCGCGGATCTACGCAGAAATTTTGGGCTATGGACTCTCAGGTGATGCTGGTCACATAACTGCGCCTGACCCTGAAGGAGAAGGTGCCTTAAGGTAAAGACTTGTTTTGGTTTTTTAATTTATAGATGTATTTACCTATTTGAGCGAGCGCACAGGGGTGGGGGTGGGAAGGGCAGAGGGAGAGGGAGAGAATCCCAAGCAGACTCCACATTGATGCAAGGATCCCAGGATCCTAGGACCCCAAGATCACAACCTGAGCTGAAACCAAGAGTGGGCTGCTCAACCCACCGTACCACCCAGGTGCCCCAAGACTAGTTTTATTTAAAATATTTCTTCAAAAAAGACATTTTATTAGACTTTCAAATTAGGGAGTCCAGTATTGTAGTATCTGCCTGTGGTGTACACTGTCTTTGATGTTTTTCCATTTTAGACTAAAAACGGTTTTGAATTCTTTGCTTTAACATATTTGAAATATTTGAAAGCATTTGAGCATCCTTAACAGAAACTGGATTTTAGTTAAGGCATGTAAAGTTGTGAAGAGGGCCGTGTGTGTCTTCACCAATTTTTCATACTTCCAGTTGTGTTTAACAGCTGTCAGAGTGCTCCCTCCCACAGTCCTCCTCTTTGGCCCTTCATCATCTCAGAGAGCAAAGTCAACCCTTTCTTCTAGTTGTGTCTGGTCTCTGTGCCATTTCAACCGGGTTCTGCTGTTACTAAATCAGTACTTTCTAACTTTTCACCACCCAGGGATACCAGGGATATTAAAATGCAGACTCTGACTCTAGGCCTGGGGTAGTGCTAGAGATTCTGCCTTTCTTTTCTTTTCTTTTTTTTTTTTTTTTTTTTTTGAGATTCTGCCTTTCTAACAAGCTCAGTGGACGCTGATGCTGCTGGTTTGAGAACCACAATTTGAAAAGCAAGTTGATATCGCAGAAGAGATAAGTTAAAAAAAATCCCTGTTAATGTGTTAGCTAATGGATTAGCCTGCTTAGATCATATTATGTTTTAACCAGTTTACTTGGCCAGGGGTTGGCAGACCTTTTCTGTAAAGGCACAAATAGTACTTTCAGCTTTGTGGGCGATAGGGTCTCTGTCACAATTATTCAAATCTGTCTTCTAGTGCGAAAGCAGCCATAGACAATATATAAATGAATGGACGTGCTCCAGTGAAGCTACAGTTGACCTTTGAACAATGCAGGGGTCAGGGGCACTGGCCCGCTGTGCAACCAAAAATTCCATGTATAACTTTTGACTCCTCCCAAACTTTACTCATAGGCTACTGTTGACAAAAAGCCTTACTGATAACATAAACAGTCAATGAACATGTATATTGTTTTCTTATAATAAGGTAAGCTGGAGAAAAGAGAAAGTTGTTTAGAAAATCATAAGGAGGAAAAAATACATTTACAGTACAGTAGTATAAAAAATCCACATTTAAGTGGACCCACACTCTTCAAAGCCATATTATTCAAGGGTCAACAGGCATCTGGCCAGGGCCATAGTTTACTGGCCCCTGAATTATGCTTTTGAGTTTTAGCAAATAGTTGTTGGTGCTAGAAGTGTCAAACAGTAGCCAGCTAGATGAAGAACTAGTTATATTTAGGTGAAACCCTTCATCACACTTCAAATTACTCCCGGAGCTACCTCTTAAGGAAATATATGCCGTCCAGAGATCAGGAACTGAAACAGAAGGTGTTGACATTGATGATGTTTTCAAAGATTCTTTTAGAGAAATGTTTTATTTTCTGATTTGTTTGTTTGTTTTTGCTTGGTGTTGTACTTCATTTATTTAGCATTCTTACAGCCTAAATAGAATTTCGGAAAGTTATTTGAAGCACCAAAGTAATGGTGCAGCCATTTTTAGATTATTGAGAAATATGCCAAGTTTTACATTTAAATGTGCAAGAAAAAATTAAAACACAGTTATAAAATTTTTTACCACATTTGGAATCACTACATACACACATACACACACATACACACACCCCCCCATTGATAAAAAATTCCTAGAAGAAAAACTATTCTAGGCTTGAGTCAACATGGTTTTTCCTCCAGAGAAAAATACCAATTCAAATAAATGGAAATATATTTTGTTTGAGATTATAAAACCTGTAGGCCTGTGTGTTTATCTCAAGGTGTTGAATCAGTCCAGGGTATTGGGGGTTACTCCTTATTCCCATGCAGGTGGCATTTTAATTCATCTGGTAATCCAAGTTGGGGTTCTGTTATTAGAGGAAAGGATTCTCTTCACCCAGCATATATGTTTATTTTTTTCTTATAAGCCATATAAATACTCCTGTGTTCAAATTAAACTTAGTTCTGATGAACTTCTTTCCTTATTTTATTAGATGTATGGCTGCAGCTGTAAAAGATGCAGGTGTACAACCTGAAGAGATATCCTATGTCAACGCGCATGCTACTTCCACCCCATTGGGAGATGCTGCTGAAAACAAAGCTATCAAACATCTTTTCAAAGACCATGCACCTGCCCTTGCAGTTTCTTCAACTAAAGGAGCCACGGGACATCTGTTGGGAGCTGCAGGGGCAGTTGAAGCAGCTTTTACTGCTTTGGCTTGTTATTATCAAAAACTACCACCTACTTTAAACCTGGATTGTACAGAACCAGAATTTGATCTCAATTATGTTCCACTAAAGGCACAGGAATGGAAAATTGAGAAAAGATGTATTGGACTCACCAATTCCTTCGGTTTTGGTGGTACTAATGCAACACTTTGTATTGCTGGCATGTAGGACAAATAATTTGTAATTAAATATGATTTTTTAAAAAAATATGAACTATATTAAATGGAGAAATAAATGTTTACATAAATATATCAATATGTATCTATATATTGATCTGTATCAATACCCAGATACCCTTCATCTGTGTCAGGGTTTTTCAACGCTGCCACTATCGATATTGTGGACAGGATAATTCTCTGTTGGGGTAAGGGGAAGCTGTCCTATATATTACAGGATGCTGGGCAGCATCCTCACCTTTACCCACTAGATTTCAGAGGCACCATCTTCTCTAGTTGTGACAAACAAAAATGTCTCTAGACATTGCTAGGTGTTTTCTGGGTGGCAAAATGGTCCCCATATGAGAACCACTGATCTCTATTTTCCTAATACTCTAGGTCAAACAATTCTTTGATGTTTCACCTGCTCTTGTATCTTCCAATAACATTTGGTGAGTAGCTGTTCTGTGCTAGGCTAGGTTGTTGCATTGCACAACTCTAGGCTTACATTCCCATACAACATAAGGAGAAGGAAGACACATATAACTGGGAGTTTGCCTCACTGATCAACATTCTTTGAATAAGCAGTCAGCCAGCAGCAAACTAGTTACCCTTCTATCCAGCTAGCTCTCTTTTCTTCGTATTATCTATACAGAGATGCAATAAATTAGTGGAATTTCCCTAAATGTCCAAGTCATGAGTTCTCTGAAAGAAGGAAGTAAAATTGGTTTGGTGTTTCTTACTCCTTTTGTAATTATGGTGGCATCTAGTGATTAATGGAGATAAAGTTTCTTGGGAAGTGGAGCAGAACTTGTTGGTGACTTAAGCCACATTACCTCAACCCACCTTTATTATAGCTATGGTAGATAATTTTTGTGTCTGCTTCTAATGTCCCTCACAAGTGCTGGTGGTGTCTCTAATTTTCCACGCTGGGGCTTTTTCTAAAGATCTTTTGGGATCTCATTCATCCCCATCTGGCTGGAAGTATTGGGAAAGGGATAGGGACAAGCTCCCTAGAGCAGCAGTCAATACCAAAAAGAATGGGATTAGTGGTTAAGTGTGTCAGCCTCCTCCCAGAGGGATATCTAATGTTCTCCCCAGTTCCTCAGAGGGTTTCTGGTCAGATAAAACTTCACCGCTCAGGGCATTAACCAGTTCAATAACTTCTTTCCTGGCTTTTCCCCTTTCCCTTTTTTCCCTTTCTGATTTTTAATCCTACTCCCAGGAATCACCTCCCAAACAAACAACCTGGTGTTAGGCTCTGCTTTGTGGGAGACTCAAACTGAGCAAGAAGTGGGTGTTAAAATGGGGGTTCATAGAGCAAAGGGGTAGAGTGAATAAGTGGATAAATGGATAAATGGAACATGTGTATTTCTGCCGAACTGAATTGTGTCCCACATGTTTTAATAGGCTGGATATATTATCTACCCACTGACCTTAACTATAACACTTAATCCCCTGTATTCCCAAGACTGCAGCCATATTCATTCAGTTATAATCAGTTCTAATTGTCATTGGCATGTATTAATTTACTCAACCAAAATTTGTTGGTTGCTAACTATGGAGGTTTTGTACTGGCTGCCAAGAATAAAGTGATACGTCAGGGAAGGTTTCCTGTTTTTTTCTTTTTAAGGTTTTATTTATTTGACAGAAAGACACACAGCGAGAGAGGGAACACAAGCAGGAAGAGGGGGATAGGGAGAAGCAGGCTTCCTGCTGACCAGGGCCCTAGGATCATGACCTGAGCTGAAAGCAGCTGCTTAATGACTGAGCCACCCAGGTGCCCTGCAGGGAAAGTTTCCAAAAATAAGCTGAGCCCAGAGGCGCCTGGGTGACTCAGTGGGTTGAGCCTCTGCCTTCAGCTCAGGTCATGGTCTCGGAGTCCTGGGATGGAGCCCTGCATCTGGCTCTCTGCTCAGCGGGGAGCCTGCTTTCCCCTTCCCCTGCCTGCCTCTCTACCTACTTGTGATCACTCTCTCTGTGTCAAATAAATAAATAAAATCTTTAAAAAGAAAAAAAAAAGCTGAACCCATAGGTTCAGGGTGAATAGGTCTCGGCCAGGTTAGGGGAAGAGAGACGGAATAAAAAGTCTTCTAGCAGCAAGGAATAGTGTGGAAAGGTTAGAAAAGTCAGAACATTTGTACTATACATAAATACATATAGCCTGAGATTGGGGGGGGAGTAGTGTGGAGGAAGAGGAGATAAAGCAGGAAATCTGGTGGAAGTCAGGTCACAAAGAACCTTAACAAGTTTTGTTAAGGGCATAAAAGTAATGGGAGGTCATTTAAAGTAAGGTCATGATGGTTTTGTAAGATGTCAGCTTGGCTAGGCTCACCTACATTACCCAGAATTCTCTTTATGTTTTTGGTTAGTGCTGGCCATAAGAGATTCTTGTGGGAGATTGGGAGGGTGGACGTGAAGCAGCAGCCATTTCGTAGCAGATACGTGATGGGGCTTTGCTGGTTCACCTTGATGAGGAGGCAGTGGCTGAGCCTGAAACTGCTTCTCCTTCTGCTGGATCTTCCTTCAGTTTCCCTGACTTCTGGACCAGGTGTGTGTCTAGCTCCATGATAATGAAGGGCCCAGGTTTGCCCCACACCACCCAAATCAGAATGAGCAAGTTCTGAGTGGTTTCAGTTCGTTTTTGTGGTTGTGGGTTCCAGCTTGTTATTGAAACTTTACATCCATCTTCCCTTTCCAACTGCCTGCCCTGTGGACTTCAGATTCCAGCATCAGAGGATAACAGGTGAACATAACAGCCTTACAGAGACAGCTTAACCGCTTCTCCTAGAAGAGGAAGATTAGTGGGACAAATAGTAGCTCTTAATGCTGCGGTAGGTTTCAGGTTCACCCTGGTCCTCCTCCTCCCCCAAGCCACTATTCATCCTAAATTTCCCCTCGCACTCAGCTGTAGTTATCTTGGCAGGCCTTGCTGACTCCCCTGGTGGTGTGACCCAAACCTTCATTCCCCATAGCCTGGGCCCTAAGCATTCATGCCATGCCTTTTCCAGACAGAAGTTGCTGTTTGTGTCTGGACCACTGGCATCGGGAGGAAAGGAAATACCAGAAGGTGCCCAAGTATACCACCTAGATTCCACACGTACTCTCCCCGTCCTTGTAAAGCAGCGCCATCTTCTTCAGCTGATTAGGGTCAAATACCACCGCCAGTATGTTGACTTTCCGGGCTCAGGGCACAAGGAGTCCAAGTGTCCTAGTGGTAACTACACTTTGGTGTTTAATGAGACACTTTCTGTGTTTCCTGGCAAGAGTATGTACACCCTTTGGAGACCAGAACTTCTAACACTGCAGAGCACAGAGTTACAAGAATGGGAAGCACAAAATTCCCTATTGTGATTGAATCACTGGGAGTGATGGTAATCGGGGTCACTCCTCTTCCCCACACCCATTGTGTTCTACTTAGTGGGGACTTGGCCCTCTACCGAAGTCTTTGATTTCAGCAAATACTGCATCCTGAGGATGGCACCACGTTCAGGATATTGCTTGTGGGCTGCTGATTCAGGTTTGCCATTAGAGGGCTGTTTTGGCATTCTCTGAGGCTGGCTGTTTCTGGATGGTATGACATGGGATACAACTCATGGATCCCATGTCACTGGCATGCTCCTAGGGTCCATCTCGTTTGCTCGTTTGTTCTGCAGGAAGCCCCCTGCTCAGTATTGGAGGAGTCATCAAGAGGTTGTGTGCCAAGGAAATAACCAAATTTCCATGTTAATCACATTGTTAACGAACTCTTACCAGATCTTTAACCATAGCTATTTTTAAGTCTTTTGTCATTTACAGACAGTTACTGTTGTACTCCCATGCCTTTACAAAAGTGTTCCTGCACATTGCTTTATCTTCTAGGAGATTCATGGAAAGGACTGACATGTACAGGTGTCTGATACCTAAGATCATACTACAGAACTGAATAAGAATTTACAGAACTCTAATGGAAAAACTGATAAGGATGTCTATAATTTTTATGGCTTTTTATTGGAAACATTGATTTTTTTTGGTCTTGTTTTTCCAGATTTAAGAAAACCTTTTGCTCTTTTTCCTTAAGCTACCAGCAGTTTGCCAACATCTACCTTTATAAACAAAGTTGAAACACTTATCTTTTCTTCCCTACCTGATCCTTCCAGAATTTGGAAACTCTTACTGTGTATTCTTATTTTCATGTCCATAAAGCTTTTTTTAAGACTTTTTTTTCCTTTTTAAAAAGATTTTATTTATTTATTTGACAGACAGAGATCACAAGTAGGCAGAGAGGCAGGCAGAGAGAGAGAGAGGAGGAAGCAGGCTCCCTGCTGAGCAGAGATCCCAATGTGTTGCGGGGCTCGATCCCAGGACCCCGACCATGACCCGAGCCGAAGGCAGAGGCTTTAACCCACTGAGCCACCCAGGCGCCCCCCATATAGCTTTTTATATAAGTTCAGTAAGAATCTGTTCTCCTTATAACAGGAAAGAGCTACAGCAGCCAGTGAGTTGAACTCAGAGCAGTTTGGCTGGTGATCACTCATAAGTCCTGGCCATTAACCCTTTATACTGACAGTTGGGCTATTCAAAAGGTCCCATAGTTTGGACCAGTGGGAAGCCGAGAGATGGATGTTCATGAATAAGCCCCTGGGAGGTCAGGATATGTGGAAGGACATTTGGGTTCACCTGCAAGGGCCTGAGACATTTCTCACTGCCTTCTACATCCTGGCTCATAAGCCAGGACACCTCCTGGCAATCAGGAAGTTAATGCTATTGCTCTGTACAAGCCCTCGTACTGACCCCTCAGTAGGTGCCACACTACTGCCCAGGTGGAATGGCATATTGCCAAATTGCCCTTGAAATACATAGACTTGGTTAATGCAGTAACAACTTGTCTTGTGTATTCTAAACAATGCCCAAGGCAATTGCCAAAAGACCCTAGGGCTGTTCACTGGAGTTGCCAATGGATGACAGATTGGCAGGTTGATGATGTTGGTCCCCTCCCTCCAACTGAGGGTTCTTAATATGCCTTGATTTGTGTCGACACTGTGTCTGGTCTAACCCAAGTATTCCTGTCACCATAGGGGATT